CACTTTAACACAAATAAGATTGTATTGTAAATTTACCACCATTTGTTTGTACATCAATCTATTGAAAGACTTCTTGCTGACTTCTGCTTTTTGTCAGTGATGAATCAAAATGCTTTATACACACATTTGCAGATTGTTGTGAGAACCCAAGTCTTCAATTCATTTGGATAATTACAGAGAGCACAACTGCTGGATCACATGGTAGATGTGACTACTAAAATGTCTTTCAAAGTCTCAACACCATGGCTGGAGGAGGTGGGTCACTGGTGATGTGCCCTGGAATCATGAGCTGAGCAACTTTCCTCCACTGGACCCTTCCCCCATCATCTGCTGCCTTGGCAAGACTCAAAGTAATGCAGTCAGCCATCTATGGACTGGGACATCCAAAATTGTGAGCCCCAAATAAACTTTCCCTCTTCCAATTTGTTCATGTCAGCTATTTTAGTTAACAAAAGTTAACTAAAACACACCAACAGTGATTAATAGTCCCCATTAAACCAAATCCTTGCCAACTTTTTAGTTTGATCAGTGGTTTGGTTTTAGCCATTCTATCTATGTGGAGTCTCATCTTGTTTTCAGTTTGTATCAGGGGATGGTGTAGGATATTTAAGCATTTTTTCACGTGCTTATTTGCCTTTGAATGTCATCTTCGTTCAGATGTCCCTTCAGATGGTTGTGCCCAATTCTACTTGGGTTGTTCAATTCCATAATATTCCATTTTGAGAGTTCTTTGTATATTTAGAATAATGGTCCTTTCTCAGAGATGTCATTTACAAATGTTACTTCTAATGGATGGCTTGTCATCTCATTTCTTTGGTTATATCTTTTGCAAAATAGAAGTGTTCATTAATTAAAAGTAATTAAACAGTTCCTCCTTTTATGGACAGTGTTTCTGTTGTGTTTTAAAAGCTATTTTCTGAACAAGGGCATCTCGATTTTCTCCAAATTTTATAGTTTTGTGCCTTATGTGTAGATTTACATTCCATCTATGGTGACTTATCCTTCCTGGTGGGTCTTAGGTCTCCAACTAGATTCACCCTTTCATATGTGAATGTCCAGTTGTTCCAGTCACCCTTATTGAAAAACATCTGTCTTCTTCATTATATTGCCTTTGGGTTTTTTTGTTTTGTTTTGTTTTGTTTTGTTTTGTTTGTTTGTTTGTTTGTTTTTGTGAAACCCCAGTTGATTGTATTTATATATTTTAAGCCTTCTGTTCTGAACATCAATTGTCTACTCTTACACCAATATCATACTGTTGGGTCTCTGTGGGATCTGCACC